CATCCTCCTCACAAGACCCTCCCTTATCTTTTTATTGGTAAAAATTCCCCAGTGAGTGCTGTAGAGCTGCCTGAGTTTGCCATGTGAGTGACGTCTGCTTTTCCCACAGTGAATCTGAGCCCTAAATCTCCTCTGTTCCCTGCAGCTCCCCCGCCTGCACGCCTACAAAGGCTACTGCAGCAACCAGCTGGCAGCCAAAGCGCTGCTGGACCAGAAGAAGCAGGACAGGAGGGTGCAGGATTTCCTGCAGCGCTGCCTCGAGTCTCCCTTCAGCCGCAAGCTGGACCTGTGGAGCTTCCTGGACATCCCTCGGAGCCGCCTGGTCAAATACCCCCTGCTCCTCAAGGAGATCCTCAGGCACACCCCCAAGGAGCACCCCGACATCCACATCCTGCAGGAGGCTGTGAGTGATGCTGCTCTGCTTGTTCTGACCCATGGGGGAGCTCCACAAATCATCCCTAAACCTCAGCAGTTCCCAGGGGGGGTTTCAAATCCGTGGCAGGGAAAGTGAGGGATCAATCCATCCTTGGGAGTTGTGAGGTCACACAGGGAAGCACTTGGCTGCCATGGGGGAGCTCCACAAATCATCCCTAAACCTCAGCAGTTCCCAGGGGATGTTTCAAATCCATGGCAGGGAAAGTGAGGGATCAATCCATCCTTGGGAGTTGTGAGGTCACACAGGGAAGCACTTAATCCCTCCTAATCATTGCTTTGGGTGTTTAGATCTCCATAATCCAAGGAGTCCTCTCTGACATCAACGTGAAGAAGGGCGAGTCGGAGTGCCAGTACTACATTGACAAGCTGGAGTACCTGGATGAGAAGCAGAAGGATCCGAGGATTGAAGGCAGCAAAGCTTTGCTGTGCCACGGGGAGCTGAAGAATAAAAATGGACATGTGAGTCCCTCCTTCTTTACTGATTCATTCTCAAACCTGGTTTAAACTCAGAGCAGGACTATCCCTTACAGGGTAGTTTGGATATTGGATAAAAGAGCAGAGGAAAATCTCTTAATTATCAGCCTCATTTAGGCTGTAAGGGAAAGTTTCCTGCTGGCAGCTCCACAATTGCCTTTGGGAAGCTGGAAAATCATCAGCACAGAGTGCCCACGGAAAGTGCTCTCCATCCATCCATCCAGAGGGATTTCCTGCCACTGTTTACTCCCAGTAATGCTCTGACATTCCCCATTAGGAGCCCTGGCTCTTCCAAACAAAAGGGTTCCTGTGAAGCCTGTTTGCTTTGGGCTGGGCTGCCTGGAGTTTATCTCCACCCCCTGCACTCCGGGCTTTGCTGCCTTTTGTCCTGATTTCAACCTCAAATCTTGTCAGGTTTTCTCTGTTGATTGGGGGTTTTGTTGTTGTTTAATTGGCTGTTTTACTCATGCACACAGGAAAGATATGGCTCCTAATCATCCTATCCCCAGCACCTGGGAATCATCATTATTCCCTTTCTAGGGATCAATAAAATCATAAAGCCGCTGATGTAATCCTGGTGTGTGCCAGACCTCGCCATTGTCACCAGAGACTCTGAAAGTTATTGTGGGTGAAACTGCAGATAAGGTGGCCTTGAATCCCACAGGATGTGTGACCTCACAGAGTGAATATTGGCATCTTTTCCCTTCCAGAAGCTCTACGTCTTCCTCTTCCAAGAAATGCTGGTGCTGACGCGGCCGGTGACCCGCAACGAGCGCCAGGCGTTCCAGGTGTACCGGCAGCCCATCCCCGTGCAGGAGCTGCTCCTCGAGGACCTCCAGGATGGAGATGTCAAAATGGGGGGCTCCTTCCGAGGGGCTTTCGGCAATTCTGATAAAGGTACGGAGCTCTGGGAGCGCCGGGGGCTGGGATGGACGGAGACGAGAGATCTCTGCAGCCAGGGCTGGGATTTGGGGTTCATTGCACAGGGCCCTGCTGGGATTTGGGGTTCATTGCACAGGGCCCTGCTGGGATTTGGGGTTCATTGCAAAGGGCCCTGCTGGAATTTGGGGTTTATTGCAAAGGGCCCTGATTGGATTTGGGGTTCATTGCACAGAGCCTGGGAGCAGAGCCCTGCTGGGATTTGGGGTCCATTGCACAGCACAGGGCCTGACTGCAGAGCCCTGCTGGGATTTGGGGTTCATTGCACAGGGCCCTGCTGGGATTTGGGGTTCATTGCACAGGGCCTGGGTGCAGGGTGCTTTTTGGGATTTGG